TGAGTTATACGCTGAGCCATCGATATCCATACGAAAAGCCAGCACTACTTCTACTGCTACTACTACTCCTTCGACAACAACTTCAACAACAACTACCACAACAACAACAACTCCAAAACCATTACCAATAACAACATCATTGCCTACCATTCCTTCGCCAACGCCATACTATAAGCCCATTAAACGAATGTTAAAAGATTTTGATTTAAATGAATTCATCGACACTGAAGACGATGATAGAGATAATACAATCCTAAGCACAACTATTACACCTACGAGTGACCCATCACTGGACACAACAACTCTGGACACGTTTACTCTGACATCGGCACCGGTAAACAGAAACTGGAACTTTGTTTGCGGCAAACGAAAAGGTTTTTACGCCGACATCGACAACGAGTGCCGATATTATTATCAGTGTTCAGTACGCGGCCGCCAGCGTTGGGAGTGTCCAGCGGGCACTCGGTTTAACCAACTGTCTTCAACATGCGATTGGATAGATAATGTCAATTGTCAGGCGTTCCGCGATTTGGTTAACGATAGGCTACCGATTGAACCGTTGACTTTTACTACTACTTCTGCCGGACTTAATGATGAAACTACGGGTTATACGACCGCTGAAAATATCTATAATATTAATACTCAATCTATGAGTACTAATACTATTACTACTTCTACACCGACGCCTACTCTCGATGAGGACGAAGAGTATGATTATGAAAATTAATTAATAATATATACATTTATGATATATATATCATATATTTTATCATAAATATTGTTATATAAGGTACAATATAAATATATATATATATATATATATATTGTTAGACATATTATAAATATTGTTTGATAATCAAAAATAAATAACAATTTATTAAACTACAAGTTTAGGGTTTAACATTTGTAAGTTTTTTTATAAAAAAATTAATTAATGTCAATAAATTAATAAATTACCTATATAATAATATATATACACTCYGTACACATTTTATATAAATATCACTTTTATATTTATATTATAATTATTTTTTCATATTATAATACAGTAAAATCTCTAGAGAAAATACTAAAAATAAATACAGTATTTTAGTACTTTACAATTTATATAAATAAAAATTTTATATTATTTATATAAACATATTTTAGTGGTTTTTTCTCCAAAATTATATTTAATATAAAAGGAGAGATTACTATTTGAAACTTTTGTATGTCTATTAATAAGCAAAAAAAATAACTTTTACTTATATTCAATATTTATTAATACTTTACTGTAAGTCATTAAGTATTTCGTTGACAACTAAAACCATAAAATTGTATTATTTTTTTTTTGATATCTCATTCAATAAAATTAATGTGAGTGTACTATAAGTATTATACTGTAGTATATAAAAGTAAAATATCATAATTTTTAAAAAGTAATACAATAAAAGTCTAGTTTTTGCAACAAAATACTATTATATTTATAAATATCATTCAAAAGAACAAATTATTTAATATCTCTTTAAAAATAATATTTAATTAGTTTTATTTTATATTCAAAAATCAAGTTTTTCAAATTATTGTTTACAAAAATAGATATATTTATAAATATATTATATTTTAGATGTTATTTTAGATTTAATATAATTGTTGTTTAAAAAATAAACAATAATTTATTTTGATATATTATACATTTTATTATGAACATAAAATTAATATTAATTATTGACCATAACTTATACGTAAATATCAAAAATATATTGCTCATAAACTTGACATAAATAAAACATTTAGTAAAACTTATTATTACTTTAAGATTTATGTATATATATATATATATATATATCTTTATATAATGTTTTGCATATTTAATTAATATGATAATATAGTAATTTTAGTTGAAAGCAATATATATTTATTTATATAATAGTAATTTTACTGACACATTATTATTAATTGCATTGCTATTTATTGTTTTAGTTCATATGATTTATGATAACAAATTTTATTGTCTTATAATAATCACTGTTTTAAAAATACTAATTAAATTATATGACATTTGGTGGTAAAAGTAGCAAAAATAAATATTTTTTGTTACTTGAAATACTTTTTTTTTATAATACAATGTGTATWCAATTATTAATAAAATTTGTTGTTATATCTTTGTTTTAAATATAAATATTATTTCAATTAATATATAAATTTGTTTTCAATAACAATTAGCATTTTTTATTTTTTTAAATATAAATAGTCTTTATAATTTTTTATAATATATTAAAATACCATTAATAATAAAAGCAATGCTATATTAAACATTATTTGCCATTATATGCAATATTTATTTATTTAATGACTTGTTAATTGTATAATTTATGACAATTAAGTTTAATGTTTCCATTATAATGACATTGTTTCTAAATTTATTAATATAGTTATTATACTTATATAATAACAATTTTAAATAGTAGTTATAGTTTTTAATTACAAAATAATTTCAATGTGCTTCAATAGTGTATTTGTATAAAAAAAAATAATACTGTAAGTATTGAACATAACTTAATAATGTTTTGGTTTAGACTATAAAATCTATGTTTAGTTTATACATATTGTTAACATGTATTAACATGTAATATTATTTAAAACTTAATGTTATTTGTATTTGTATATTTTATGTGATTTTTATAAACAATATTAACAAACATTCAATAGTTTACAACAAAAATATCCCATAAAAATATACATACATTGAATAAATATTGGCAATAGTTTCAGTTTAAATACCAATTTATATAATCTTTTTCAGTTTAAACAATTTTATGTGCAATTGAAATGTGAAATTTAAAGATAAATATTTTTTCGCAATTAATTTTTGTGAGTAATTTTGCATCATTTATGTGATCTTGAAATTTAAAAAAAATCTAGTTTTAATTAATATTAACTATTATTAATCATATTTTTATATTTTAACAAAATATAATGTGTATATATATGATATGGTTAATAATAATAATAATCTAAATATAACTTCAACAACAATAGTGACATTTACTATAATAAATGAATTATTGTCATCAACTTTATGGGACAATCAAACATCAATCGGTGATAACAGTGATGCAGTTATTGCCGATAATTATCAAGAGTTTCGCGATTTGTCTCGTTTTTGGATTCAACGTGTTTTGGTGCCCATCATTGCCGCCATCGGTATTGTTGGTAATGGTATTACAATAACAATAATGACCCGCAAACGGATGCGGTCGTCGACCAACTCCTATTTGGCCGCATTGTCCACATTTGATATGTTATATCTCGTGACCACTGTTTTTCTATCGCTATCCCATTATCCTACTGTCAAATACAACAATCGGTACTATTATTATTGGTTGTTGTGGCCGACGGCTGTCATGATATGTGACGCCTCATCCAACACATCCGTATGGCTGACCGTTGCGTTTACTATCGAAAGGTTTTTATAAAAAAATTAATTACAATTTTATTAATAAATAATATTAATTGAGATTTTTTAATGTTAACAGATATTATGTAGTGTTTAATCCCATCAAAGGAAAGATATTGTGCACCCCATCCCATACCCGAAAAATTATTAGTCTATTAGCTATCATATGTTTTTGCATAACATTTCCGACAGTTTTCGAGTGGAAACTATCGGATCAATTGTTAGCCGATTATGATATCAATAGCAGCGACAGTGATAACAACAACAATACTTTCGATGACAACCGGGATGTCATAACTGCCAGTGCTTTGGGACTTAACATAATCTATAAGACAATATATCATTACTTAACAGTCATATTATTCATATTTATGCCACTCGTCATTCTAGTCGTATTTAATATATTTCTCATACGTTCCTTACGGGTGACCCGTATTAGGAGGCGTACACTCATAAAAATGCCTCCAAAAGCTGTCTCCCATAAGTTTGGTTTGCGATCTATGTGTATGTACTTATTATCAGATTTTTAGTCAATTAAGCAATCAGAAATTTTAATTATAAACAAAGTATAATTATAATTTACATATTTATATTTGAGATAAAAATTTAATTTAGTATATAAAAAACAAATAATAACATAAATATGTTAAACTTTTAATATGCACTTATCTTATAAAAATTATTATATATATATATAATACGATATTATAAAATGACATTTTGTTAATATTAAATAATTGTAATATATTTTATTATAGTATCAAAAGGTGAACCTTCAACCAGTTATCAGGAGTTTCGCGTAACAGTGATGTTAATAGCAGTCATCATATTGTTTCTCGTATGCCAAACACCGACAGCCTGTGTATTGATCTATACAGCCATTTATGATGTGGACAGTCAACTACCCGACAAACAGTCACTAATCAGAGGCTTAGGCAACTTATTTAACTGTTTAGTGGCCGTCAACAGTGCCGGCAATTTTGTCTTATACTCATTATTTAGTCGACGATATCGGCAAACATTTAATTCGTTATTTTGTGTAAAATATTTTTTTAAACATAATAGAAAAAAATTAATACATTTTAGTCCATTAAAACTAAAAGTAATTAAAACAAATTTGCCGAATATTAATAGTACCAATAATAATAGTTAATATTCAAATAAAATTTTGTATTTATTATAAAATAAATAATTGATTCATATTTATATATTACATTTTTCATACAATTTTCATGTAATTCATATAATTTATTTTTGAATTATAAATTTTCATAAAATGTTTCATAAATTATTTTTTTGCAATTTAGTTTTACAATCTAAGATAGTGGCGATAATAGAAATAAATATTTAATTCATAATTTATGATCAATTAGATAGTTATTATGACATTAGTTGAGAATATCTACCTTTTTTAAAAAACACAATTTTACAGTATATGAGAAGCAATGCATCTGTAATTGTTATATAACTGTTAATTACATTTAAAGTACTCATAGTATGATTTTGTTTAAAAAAATATATAATAAAAATTTTGTAATTTAATTAATTTTATAAATTTTTATAAATTGATTACATAATATTAACGTAAGTGACTTAAATTATGCAAATAATATTTGCTATTATTTGTTTGCTTACAATTGTTGACTTTTTGTCAACACTTCCCGTCAAACAAGTAAACTCGTGTCCCGTCGGTAGCTATCAATGTAATGGTCAACAAAATCGGTGTATAAATCTGAGTCAGGTTTGTGACGGACGAGCGGATTGTCCCGAAGGTGAAGACGAAATGACTGGTTATTGTGGTCAACAAAACAGAGTAAATGCTGATTACGATAACTATAATCCGGGAAATAGTTACTTAAATGATGGCCAAGAGTTTGCTAAAAGATTTTTGGACGCAAAAAGCCGACAACTAATGGAGGAAATGGAAAAACAAAATCATTCGGGCATTAACTTCGGGTGCGGTGCAGGTATGCTATTGTTTCATACGGGGATTCATATTAAAAAAATCACACTAATCTTAATAAACACTATTTGTCATTAAAGGTCATTATCTATGTAATGGTACACTAAATATATGCATAAAATTAGATAAATTATGCGACAAAAGAATTGACTGTCCGCACAGTGATGACGAGGAAAGGGATCTTTGCAAACGATTGACTAAACCTCACACTAATAATGCAAATGATGATGAAGATAATGTCAAAGATTTTGTTGTGGATACTAATAGTTTTTCGGGATCGGGATTCATGTTTCATGTGGACAACCTTTTCATATTCAACTCAACTGTTAGACTGTTTGATCAAAACTCTGATAATATTGCATATAATAGTTCAACAAAATTAGTGTAAATAAAATGTTTACTTATAAATGCAATTTTAACGCGTTTATTGTTATTATATTTATAACTTGTTATTAATAATAAAAATAAATATAATAAAGATAAATATTTTTTATTTATATATAAATTTATGATTTATTTAGCAATTTATAGATTTACAATAAAATCAGTAAACAATTTTCAAGTGATTTGAAATCTGATATTATTTTCCATATTAATTTAATGGTCATTAGTTTTAAAATTATTAATTTTTATATTATAATCATACTTTACTAGTATATCATATTTCAGCACAAAAACATATTAACCAATATATCTAACAAATATATAGTTTAGTACAATTCAATATCAATTAAAAATATAGTCTATGTACTAAATTAGGTGACTTTAAGTCTATATAATTAGTTTCACAAACATCAAGTAACAAAAAAGTAATATTTTTAAATTAACAAATTATATCATATAAAGTACAATATTAATGCTAATAATTGTAATCAAATTATAAGTATAGATAACAAACCAAAAAAATGTGATTAATTTTGATTATATAGTATTCTACGTAAAAACAAATAACAAATAAAATTTAAATCTTATGGGAAACATAAGGTTTTACAACTTGTAAATTATATCATAAAAAAATTATTATTATTAGTACTGTATTTRCTTTTGGCTTCGTATAAGAGATAGACTTTTTCTCCTATAAGTCATAAATTAAAAAAAATATTTTTAGAGAAATCTTTTTTTGTCGACAAACACAATATGATTGACAAAAACATTGTCTTATTGTTGTTGTCTATTGTGGTATGTCTTCAACGGTACGCATCTGCCGTTCCCATTGAAGACGAGGAACAGCTCCGAAAGTATATGCATATGTTTCGAGTGGCCAAACGCGAGGCACCTGAAAATGCTACTGAAATACCGGTTGCATCAACGACTTACGATTGGGGCCAATGGACTAGTAGGCATCCGTCCCGTACAACATATGACTGGGGACAGTGGACAAGTACTAAACAGCAGCCGACGGGCACAGAGAGTACGACAGGATCGCCAACTGATGTAACAGAAGTACCAACTGTTGAGCCAACAACTGAAAGTCATCAGTACCGGTGCGCCGCTGGAAAGTATGGCTGTAAGGGAACTATTGGTTTGTGTATATCACTGGACCAGATATGCGACCAGCATATAGACTGTCCTCATGGTGATGATGAACAAGTTGATCGATGTTTTCATGGATTTAGACCCATTAGACGTAGGAAACATGTTAACAGTTTTGCGGGAACGGGATTCATGTTTGGTGTACGCAATTTGGTGGTCAACAAAGGCACAAATCTGAAAGCATTCAACCAATTTTCCGATAATGTGGTCCAAGCGGGCGATCAGAAAATTGCTTAAATTAAAATGTTTGTGTTATGTAATGTTTATAATTTGTCATATTTTTATTGCATTTTAATATTACAATAAATACTATAATAATTTTCATACAAAAAAATTGTTTATTCTTTTAATTTTATTTTTTGAGTTTAAAAATATTTAATTAATTATTTAGAAAACTACTATTAGTTATATCTATAGACAAAAATATATACAGTATATATTCTTATCAATTTAGATAAGTTTATTTATTTTCTAATATTAATGTTAGATAATTTATTATTTTTTTTAAAATTAACAGAAATTTTATGTCAAAATCTAATGCAATATTTTTATAGTTTAAGTTCATGTGATATAAGCACCTGTCTATTGTAATTCACCTAAACTCTATCAATACATATGCCAAGGGATGGTATTATACTCATTAGGAAAAACAATATCTGATTAGACAATCGTAAACATTATAACTATAACATATGATTATAAATAAAATAGCAAAGTATATATGTAAAGAACAAGAAATAATATTTATTAAAAAAACTAATTTTCAAATTAAGAAATTCATTTAATAATTAAAGCTATTGTTAACAAACAAAAAAACATGTTGTTTCAAATTACAGTAGTAGTAGTCATATTGTCAATCGGGAATATTGGATGCGCGCCCGCAGAACCCAAAGAGCCGACACCGGTATGCAATTCCGCACAATACATGTGCCAACACTCATCACCCGGTTTATTGAAAAGCCAGTGCATAGCTTTCGACGACATATGTAATGGAGTTAAAGACTGTGTGGACGGTGAGGACGAGGATAACGAAGTCTGTAAATCATCGGAACTGATAGACCTATTCCGTCATCACTCGCGAAGAGGTACGCTCAACGAGTTTGCCGGCACTGGCTTTGTATTCAATGTCGGGACACTTATTATTAGTAACGGTTCCCGGGCTCACCTGTTTGACCAACAGAGCAACAATATTGCACTTCAAAACAGTCAACAACACTTCACCAATCAGGACGACCCCAACAATAGTAATAGTAATGATAGCCATAATCAGGGCAATGATCAACAACAACAATATAATACTACTGCAAAATATTGATTGTTTTTAGTATCAAAATGAACTAAAATTATTATATAAAAAATTTTAATATCATTTACCGAATAATATAATATTTTAATGTTTTAATATTATATAATCTTAGAATTTATTTAATAAAATTAATATTGTTTGCAGTTATTTCATATTTTTTTTTAAAAATAAAACTATAATATAATAATATATTTAAATAAATAATTAAAAATAATTTTATTTTTATACTTTCAACTTAAAATCATGGGATGTAAAGTTGTTTATTTTAAAATTTATTATAGTTAATTAATAGCATATTTATAAATTTGTTGCTATAAATAATTATTTAAAGTAAAACCTTTTTACTATATTTATTGTGAAATATTTAAACAATGATAATTTGATAATTATTGCATTATTACAGTATTACAGTATTATGTGATAATGAACTCTAAATTTTATTATATGGTTTGAATTGTAGTTATAAATTATAGCATTGCATATCTGAGATTTATTATATAAATTATTAAATATAATTTCATTTTCTACATCTGATTGCAAACAATAAATACTCAGTAATACAGTAATAATTATAAATTAAATATAATATAACAAATTTATACCATAAATATTTATTTTTTATTTATTTGTTTCTTTTTTAATAATATAAAGTACAATATTATTGCATAAAACCTAATCTATTATAATATATCTTTTTTTATTAAATACAGTAGTTGTTAATACATAGTAATATAATAAATATAATTATATCATAAATGTGTGTGAACTTAAATAATTAGTATTAAATGACAATAACAACAATACAGCAGTTATTACATAAACTAAATGAAAACAAATATTTGTCACTCAATTTCATGTTTAAACAATTATAATAATCAAAATAATTTGTTGTCTATGACTTTGAATTCATATAAAAGTCTGATTAAAAACTGATAACAAAATTAATTGATCATAAGTTTCATCAACAAGGATGAGATTTTTAGCATATGTTTTTTTAAAAATATAGTTAATTAGCAATAATTATACTTAATTTAAAATATTATTATCTTTAAAGTATATTTTATGCTTTAGTACAAATTTATATAAATATATTTATCAAATTAATAGTTTTTGACCAATTATTATATTTTGTGATAATTTATTAATACAAAATTGAAATTAATAATATATTGTTTAACATTTATAAAATAAGTTTAAAGTTAATTTTCAAAGAGAGAAAAACTGTCACAAAGAAAATAAATATGTTTTACAAGACAATCATCCTATGTATGGCTCTGGGCTACTGTATGTGTGCCCCAACCGACAAATCCTATGATACCACCGATGACGGTAACCTTGGCTGTCGACGCTCTGAATACTCGTGTAAGTCGACAACAACAGTCCGTAACGTTTGCATTTCAATTGACAAGTTATGTGACGGCGCTAAGGACTGCCCGGACGGTGAAGATGAAGAAAACAATCTCTGTTTGTCACCAGAGATCAGGGATCAGATTATTGGTCGCCGACAAGAGGATGGCAGCTATAATGACTTTGCCGGAACAGGTTTTATGTTTAGCATCGGTAATCTGGTAATCAGTCAGGGATCTAATGTCAAACTGTTTGACCAACAATCCGATAACATTGCCCTACAAAATGCTAAACAAGAGATTGTTAATAATGGCAATAGTAGTCAACAACAGGATCAGCCTCACCAACAGCCACACAAGCTATACTAATCTTATGACTGTTTTTATTTTAATATAAATTTGTTATAATATTTTGTTAAATGTGACAAAAAATACAAATAAATTATTTAACATCGTTTAAATTTACAGTATTTTCATTATTATATTGTATTGTCTTTAAATGATAAAAATAATTATAATTATTTTTTTATAATTAACTAAAAAATATTATAGATAATATAATATCGATTTATGAAAATTATTAAATTACTATTGTAATATTATATTTCTAATAAAATAAAGCACTAATAAATAAAATAATAATGTAATTAATTATTATAAAGAAATTATTTAATATGACACTGTATACTGTATTACTGACACATTTTATGTTAGAAATAAATATATTTTGCATATTAAATATCATTAAATATTTTTTAATTTATAAAGTTAGTAAATACTATACATTTATGCATATGTAAATTATATCCTAATATTAATAACAATAATAATAAAAATAATTTTTAAAAATAAAATTATTTAAATTAAATATTATTATTAAATGTCATTGAAGATTGTATTGAACTTTATTGTGCCGATAGTTTGTATGAATTCACACGTTCATTGGCAACATTACACAAATGTAACGGTAGATAATTGTGGTCTACGGCAGCAATTGCATGAATCAACTGATCGACCGTGTTTTAGATGGCACTCATACAGTGGATCCGAAATACATAATGGACGGGAGGCTCAGCCATATGAAGTGCCGTGGATTGTCTTTATTAATGTAAATGACAGGTAGTTTTTTTGTATTAAAAATATAGTAATACTGGAAGTAAATCAAATTGATTATTTTCAAATATAATTTTTAACATTAGAATTTTTTTATATTAATTAAAAATTTGTTTTAAAAGTTCAATTGGTACCGGTGTCATAATAAATCAGCGTTGGGTGCTAACGGCAGCGCATGTTATTAAGTATTGATTCAGTATTACTATTAGATTATATGATTTTTTTATGTAAAAATTATGACTAAAATCTATGAAATTATAGGATAAATAATAATATTATTAAAAAAATATATAGAAATTTTATTTACTAATAAAGACTAATAAAGAGTTATTATAATTTTTTTATTAAAAATAGGATTGATTTTGATACAGATATTAACAGTACATTGATATATGTGGTTCCCGGTGCCAAAAGTATTTGGCAAAACAGCAATAAATATTTGGTGGACAGCTATTATGTCCATCCATTGTATCGGCAGATAACCGAAGGCGACAAAACTGACTACGATATGGCACTGATTAAGTTGAAACGGGACATACCATTGAACAGTACGCTAAATGCTATTTGTTTGCCCAACGCTAACATCACTAACAAAGCTAATGAGTACGCATTGTTCAGCGGTTACGGTATGGTTAACAATGTGGACACTCCGATGACTTATAAGATCGGATGGACTAAAATATTTCCAGTTAGTTATGACCAAAATGATGGATATGGCCGATGGATTTGGTTTAAAAGATATCCGATGACTAACGGATCTATCATTTGTTTGGTTAGTTTTTTTCAATTACTATAATCATAATGTTTTGTTTTTTAAAAAAATAATATTTGTCAACTTTTTTAGTTAATCTGAAAAATCTATTAAAATTAAATAATATGTTTTTTTGAACAAAAATTAATTAACATTTGAGGAAATATTGGTACTATTTATTACAAATTAAATTATTTATTTTTATAACCAGGGTGATTCAGGTGGTCCAATGTATCAAATTATTTATGAACGAGCAATATTAATTGGCATTGCAGCTAATTTGGATATTTTTAATACAACATGTGATAATACTTTACCCGAAAATACCAAAATTAATTTTATGAGAGTATCCATGTTTATTGATTGGATAGTCTATATAATTACTAATAAATAGTTGTCTTCTATACTACCCATAAATATTATATATAAATTTATTAATTAATTACTTATATTGCAAAAAGAATATCTCATTATTTACACAATAAGATATATATATGTACTATTATTATGCTTTATAAATAGATTTAATTATTTACATTATTTTAAATTAGTAATAAAATTATATATCATATTCGTTTAACTAATTAATCGGTAATAAAAGATATATTCTAATATTACTGTATATTTTATAAGTTTAATATATATTATAAATAAGTTTGAAGTAATCTACAGTATATTTTTAGCATTATTTTTAACAGTAATTTTAACATTAACACAAATATTACTGTAATAATCATATTGTTGTGGTTGTAGTTGAAAGGGATCGGTTGTCTAATAAACAACTACGGTATCATAATCAACTGATATAATGATCACTATCATTATACAGATCTAAATAGGCCAGGGATCGATCCGTAGTACTATTGATAACTTCTATTACTATTGGAAGGCCAGTGAAATGGTAGTCTTGAAGTTTAGCCATATATTAGATATCGATCCAGTAATTTAAACAGTTTCAATATAATTACTTTATTATAACAGAATTTAAATGATATTTATGGATAGTGGGACTATCAGAGCACATGGATATTATGTATAATGGAGATGGTATGAATGGCACTGAAGGCCGGTATGTACTGACTGGGCAGTGACTGTGACTGAAGTGAAAGTGTAAGAGAGAGAGTAGACTATGAATATATTTATACTGTATATGTATAACGAGTAGCTATTGGTATGTATGTGAGGTCAGTGATCGATCAACTGGTGCTATGAAGACAACCATTGAATTAGGTAGGTATTGATCGATCAAATCGATCAACAATTCAAAGAAAAAAGGATTTAAATTAAAATCATAAGTACAAAAGATTAAAAATATTATAATTAAATTAAATATAAAATGAATATAGCATATAATCACAGAATAAATACAGAATTTAGCAAAATATTACGATTGACATTAAAAAAMTAGTAATTATTTATATACTAAATTTAATTTATTTATATAACTTATATACTGTATTAAGTAATTAAATTAATATAGTGAATATAGCATATGAAAATGACAACACAATTAATTATAAAAGATCATTATCTTATTACACAATTTAGAAAATTTTATTATTAACATTAGTAAAAAATAATAAAATTTATTTAATAATGTTGYTCTTCATTTAATAAAATATTTGACTATATTTTTGTAATGTATTAAAAATTATTTATTTTAAAAAATAAGTAAATATGAATACTTTATTTGACCCATCACAAAAATTGTCAAATAATTTGATTATACGGACAGCCGGTACACATTTATATAGATATGGCATATCATATCGTAATGTTAGACATATTAACCGACATTACATACATAATCCATATTTCAATTTATTAATTATCATTATATATGTGTTTCGTTGTTTTATATCAATAAACATTGCATCCAATGATGACAGTGTTTACCTATTGTTGGGCGACTTTCCATATTTTATTGGTGCTAAATATCACATAAATATATATGTTATTATTTTGGGTACTTATGTATTAGGCTTACAAATTGTATACTATTTATATGAAAACATCACTATTTCACCAGTATTTCAGTTATTATTTGATGTGATATCCGGATTATTATCACCTAAACGTATTGGTTTAATAAATCATAACGATATTATAAAACTATTGGAAATTTCCAAATATTTATTTAATTATGCTAAATTATTTGTATTGTCATTTCCATTGTGTGCATTTATATTTAATTTTATTGTTTTATTTATTTGCATTAATAATTGCTATCAAAGTTTTATATTTTATATTTTAACTATATTAACATGGTTAATTATATGTATATTATGTGCATATATATTGGGAAACTATTTTTTCTATAATATAATCTATGTTTTTATCATAATATACTATTGTCAAATCAAAGTTAAATATATAAATAGTATAATCAAAATGGAGTCAATAAATTATAGAAAATATCAAACAAACAAAATATTACATTTATTAAAACAGATTAACAGTTTTCACAAAGAGATAACTAAAATCAATAGTGAATTGTGGTCACAATTTATGCTAATTTTTATTTTTACAAATATATCATTTATAACATTCACAATCTATATTATAGTGTTTGTTTCAATGAATATTATAATGAAAATAGCGTTTAGTTATTGTGCCCTAATATTTCTGATATTATTTGTTTTAGTATTGAATTTGGCAGCAAATATTGCAAAACAAATTAATATAAGCCATAAATTATTAAATAATTTAATGTTTAAACAATATAATATTTCCTTGCAATATAAAATTAAAGTAATGTATTTTATAATTAGAAAATATTAATAAAATTATAGAATAATAATTAATTTTTAAATTCATTATTTATTTTTTTATAGTTATTAACAACAATTGAAAAAACAAGCGAAAATACTATTGGATTTTATTGTTTCACATATTTCATCATTAATTACAAGAAGCTGTATGAGGTTAGTATACAATAATTAATATAATAAGTACCGATAATTTAAATTAATATTTATTATATTATTTGTTTTATTATAGATCATTGTCTTTATGATTATGTTTTTCTTGAAGATTATTCAAATTTCATTATAAAAATAAATAAATAAAATTTATTACTTAACTATATTTTATCTTATATATTTATACTTTAATTATATAATTACATTATTAATATTAAAATTAACGAAAATTATTAATTAAATTTCTGATTTTTGTTGAATCCACGAACGATATGCTGCGACACTCATATAAATATCGGGATTACCGTTAGCACAGGGACGGGGATTAGCAGATAACACACCAATTAAATTTCCATTAGCTACTAGTGGACCACCAGAATCACCCTGGATGTTTTATAATTAAAAATCAAAATATTAATATATATACATATTGTATTGTTTATTAATGACAGATTAATTAACATCTAAACAATAATTGTAATCATACTGTACTAACAATACAGGTTCCGCTGTTGGTATTTACTGAGCAAATATTATTGTCTGATATTTTTAACTGTTTGTAAAGATTTTCACATTTATTCAAATTGTAAATAAATTCATTCAGATATTGTAATTGTTGTGTCGGATGAATATCTGTTGCAGAACTGGTACCCCAACCGCTAATAGTGACCGACGTTCCGTCGGGAACTGGACTGTCGATCAACGAAATCGATTGAATAGTATTACTGTATTCAAATGGTTGATCCAATCTAACCAATGCTATATCGTTGACAATTTGATCGGACGGATCATAGTTATCGTGTTGTATTATTTGACTGGCTTTACGGATAACACCATCATTACTATGAAATAGTGTCCGACCAGCTATTACTAGTATATTGTTTTGAGGTTTCCTAAAATAAACAACAAAATCATAAAATATTATAATAATTTATCAATCAATAAAATTATTGAAAAATAATGACTTGAATTACTTATCAAAACAATTAGAAGCAGTGAGAATCCAATCGGGACTTATGATAGATCCGCCGCAATAGAAATATTTATTATTATTTATATATATTTCTATTAATACCTGATATGGAAATTGACTGATATCTGCGGGATTTCCGCCGATAATCTTTGGCTTAATTTCTATCCGCGAACAACAATATTGTCCAATAAAATAATTAACACAAATAACAACAAAAGCAGTTATTGATGTTTTAAAAAACATTTAAAATAATTTAATATTCCTATATATATATATAACTGTTACAATGGTTACAGTAATGCTTTGACAATTTACAAATAACAACAATTATTATTACAATAAAATAAAATAAAAACCTCTTTTTATATATGTTATTATATTAGTTAACAAATTGCATTATTAACAAAACCAGGGTTGCGAAAGGTTTTCGATCTCAGGGGGGGGGGGTATAGGGTGGGGTAAAATGTCAAAATTTTTGAAAAAGCTTGGGGGGTATAGGGGGAGTGAACAATTTTTATTGCATTTTTAAACGACAATTTTTCCCAAATTTGAGTAAATTCCCAATAAATTCCCAATAAATTCCCAATAAATTCCCAATAAATTCCCAATAAATTCCCAATAAATTCCCACTAAATTCCCACTAAATTCCCATTAAATTCCCACTAAATTCCCACTAAATTCCCATTAAATTCCCACTAAATTCCCATTAAATTCCCATTAAATTCCCATTAAATTCCCATTAAATTCTTCATAAATTCTCACATAAATTTCTTAAAAAAGGAAAATATTCCAACTTAATTTCTTAAGACTCAAAATATATTTTCAATATTATTTTTACAATATTAAAAAATGAAATTTTACATAATATATATAAGATAAAAACAATTACTATAATTACTTGTCTACTATTTAATTAATTATTTACAATGTTGTTAAAATTAATGATATTGTAGTGAATTTATTGTCTTAAAAAATTAAATTGTAATTTAGTTAATTTAATTAGTAATTATTAAAAAATCTGAAAAATACAGATCAATTTGTTTATTAAGTAGCATAAACAATTATTATAAATTTATAAAATAAAAACATCAATATTTTTTTGATAATTGGAGGGAATTTATTAAGGGACTATCCACCCTTGAAATGCCCCAACTCTAAATAGTTTTTTTAGTACTTAACAAATTTATATTTATTTATTTTCTAAAGATAAGCTATTTATTTATATTAAAACTCAATTAGTATTTATATTTTTGTTTAATATTAAATTTTACATAAATGAAAAAAATTTCTTGAAAATTGGTGGGAATTTATTAGGGAACTAGTAGAGTGCCCCAACTGGTGTAAATAATGTTAAATTGATGTAATTAAGTATTTTTATCTATTTATTTTGTTAAGATAAGCTATTTATTTATATTAAAACTTAATAAAGTATTTATATTTTTATTTAATTTTAAACTTTACACTAATCAAAAAAATTTTCGGCGCCTKCGGCGCCGAAAATAGGTAGGTGGCCCCCTAACTTTTTGGCTTTAGGCCAGGGGGGGGTAAAACCTAAAAATCTCGACCTCAGGAGGGGGGGTAAGATGGCCTTACTCCCCCCTTTCGCAACCCTGAACAAAACAATATTTTATTATTAATGAAAGTAATTATTTATAGTGTTTTTTCTATATTATTGATTTTTACATTTAATAATATTGCATAGTAATAATTTTTAATTTATTAAAATATTTTAAAAAATACTTTTTTTTAAATGAATAAAAAGTAATTTTACTAACAGTTGATTATAATTTATAAATACTAAACTATTTTTTACTTTGAAATATTAATTAATTGTTTAGTCATTAATAGAGCATTTATTTCACATATAAATTATATTTTTAGTGATTAAAGATATTAAGAAAATAATTAGACATATTATAACCAATTGACTAAAAACTTATTTTTATGTTAAAAGTTTTTGTCACATAAAAACACATTTTAAAAGATAGTGATATATTATCAAATATAAGGACATATTTGCATATAACTGTAAAATAATGCTTTATAATAGTAAAATTGCATTTATCTTATATGTATAGATATATTCAATTTAATAAAAAATATATAATAAATATAATAACAAGTAGATTTTATGTATACAATATTATTATTATTTGTTAATTTCTGCAAATAACAAGCAATAGTAAATTCACAATAGAAGTGAAAACATTGTTTCCATTGATTTTAATAATAATTGTAGTTTTGAAGTATAATATCAAATGAGTTGATTATTCGGTCGTTAATAACAATGAAATGAATTTAAAAATAAATTAATTATAATTTATGTGTTTTTATATAAGTATTATTATTATTTTATCATTAATTTTTAAAAAGAAATAATTTAAATTTTTAGAAATTATAACAACATATTTTGACTTTTTTAAACAAATATTAAATTAAATAAAACAACAATTTTAGTAACATATGTCTAAAGTCTCTGTCATTATAGTATTAAAATTGACTGTTAATTGAAATTAAGAAAATAGTTAAATTGAATTTAATTTAATTATACTATGAACTATAATTGACAAAATAGACAAATATAATAATTAAAATTTTTAAAAATATTTATAAATCTCTGATATTAAGTCTGATATTAAGTGCACAATTGTTTTCAAGTCAATTAATTTGTTAAAAATTAATAATTATAAATTGCAATTACCGGTAATATATTTTAGTTGCATTTGATAGTATCAAAATTATAAAATAATAATTCCAAGTTTATTAAATATTTTATTTTAAAACTTATTATACAGTACTGTATATTTTATAAGATTAGAAATATAATAATTTAAACGACAATTCAAATTAAATTAATAATTAATAATTAATAATCTAAATTTTCTTTGATCCACCAATGATATGAATGGACATTCATAAATATATCTGCTTTACCGTTACCACAGGGACGGGGACCGGCAGCTAACACTCCAATTAGACGATTATTGATGGTTAGTGGACTACCAGAATCACCCTGGTTGTTTGTAATTTCATTAAAATAAAAAACATTAAAATATAAAGTAGATTAATATATATATATAATGTATATATTAATAATATACTATATGTTTACATAACAAACAATAAAACAAATTGTAATCAATACTAACAAGACATGTTCCTTTGTAATCATTTCCGACACAAATATTATTTTGTGAAAATTTTAAATCTGGATATTGTTTTTTGCAATGATTCAAACTGATGGTTGTTTGAGACAAATATTGTAATTGATTTGATGGTTGATTACTATCAGTTGAAAAAGCTCCCCAACCGCTAACAATTGGATGAATACCTTTGGAAATATACTGATCCCAAAATTTAATTGTACGAATTGTTTGACTTTCTTGAAACGGTTCATCCAACCGAATCAATGCAATATTATTGACAATTTTTTCGCCCGGTTCATAGTCTTCATGAATTATTATTTGTCTGACATAACGATAGACACCCCCAGTATGAAACAGTGTCCGACCAGCTATGATCAGTATATTGTCTTGAGGTTTGCTAAAACAAACAATCAGAAGATAATTTAATTTTTAATAATGTTTTTTTTAAAACAAATAAACTCAAATAATGATATACTCTTTGAAACAATCAGCAGCAGTGATAACCCAATCATATCTTATGAGAGATCCGCTACAATATGCAAATATTTTGTCATTTTTAAATATCTGTATTAACACCTGATATGGAAATTGACTGATATCTGCGGGACTTCCGCCGATAATTTTCGACTCAGTTTCTACTTCTGAACAACAATATTGTCCAATAAAATAATTTAAACAACAAATTATTGCAAAAACAGTTACCGATGTTTTTGTAAACATATTGAATACAATATACTACAAGTATAATACTGTATGTTATTAAATAATTTATATTATGTTATTTATTCAATTATTTAACTAACTATAAAATTAACAGCTTTTTATAACAATTCAGATAAAGTCTACACAATTACCGTTCATATAAATTGTCAAACATATGTGTTGTTTTTGATAATCATTGAATTCAATTGAACTACAATTGGATTTTCTTACTGAACGCCAATAGTAAAACATTACTTAATTTTTTTCATTTTAAATAATACCAAAACATTTTACTACTTTATTGTTATCATTTATATAATCACATATTTTTTTAACAATTATTTAATTAATTGTATAATTGTGTATACAATGTGAAAATTATAACTAAAATAAAATATACAACATATTGTTATTTTTGTATAAATAACACTCAAATATAAGTTGTATAAATACAATATTATTGAATATTTTTGGGAAATAAATATAAAATATTTAATAAACTTAACACTAAACTAAATAAAAATTAATATTTTTGAAATTTTTACATTATCATTTGTAATTTTTAAAAATTTAATCATGTGTAAGTATAAATATAGATTTTAAACTTGAAAAATTTTGTATTTATATAATAATTTTAATACAGTATATGTTGCAATAGTTGCAATTTTTACTATTAAATATTAACAATATTAAAACAGTTTAATACATTAGCATTACAAACAATATTAAACTCATTACATGTTTATAATTCATTTTGGAGTTATAAAGCGATCAGTGAGAGGGGACATATTTTTTAAAATATATTTTTGTTTTTATTATACATATTTTATTTTATTTATTAATTTACAGTTTCTATGCATTAAAATATTTTTTTTTCATAATTAAAGATATAAAATTAATAAACTTTAAATTTACAGTTTTTTACGGCAACAATTTATATAATTTAATTATTGATAATTTTAAGATTATGTTTGCGGAGCAGATCCACACTTTCTTAAAAACATCTATTGATAATTATAATATCACAAAAAAAATTTGATGACAATTGATCCCAGGGACGGATGTTTTTTGGGGGTCAAAGTTTGATTTTTCTTATATACCTCCCATTATAATCAAAATTTATTTTATTTTATAACTATAATATTATTGGCCCGATTGATATAAATTTAATATATATATATGTAAAATTATATTATATATTAAAATATTAATTTCAAAAATTTGCTTAACCGCCCCTGCTACTTTACTGTAATTATTATGAATATATTGTATTATATACTTTATATAATACAATATTTATTGAAATTTGAATAATTTATATTTTAA